AACAGTCAAGAGATATTTCACAACCTGTGGACTGAGGCTCTTTTTAATTGCTTATAACTGTAAATCACCAGTAAACACTTTATTAATCATTAATACCCCAGTTTACAAACCATGTACAAAAGGGCGACACATTACAAAGTGGGATTAAAATAATTTGTTATAATAAAAAAAAAATCTGTACTAAAAATCTGAACTCAAAGCTCACACACAGAGCTTTCACTCGCATCTCATGGTCTTCATCACTAGCCAATGTAACTCCATCAGGTGTCATCTCGTGATAAAATAAAACAATATGCCTATACAAAAAAAGTAATGAAGAAATAATTTTACCCTTAATGTTCGCTTACTATCTTTCTCCAGAGCTTTCAACTATATCTCCCAGTCTCCATATTAACCTAGTAAGGGAACCTTGAGGCAGGAAATCTCTGTTTCTCTGGTTTGGTTTTGCTTTAAATAAATGAACTGTGTGTTTAGCTGCAGGTCATTTAGAGTCATCTCATCATCTCTCTGCGTCCTGTAGCGCCCCCTGCTGGATCAAGCCTGACAACACACCACACAGTCTGTCAGGACTTTATTGGGCAGTACTTCTTCAAGACTCTGAAGAGAAACTTGTGCCAAACTCCACTGAAAAAATTTTTTTTTAAGACATCCTTGCTCTTTGGTAATGCTTCTCATATATAAAATTTAAGTCTCATTTATAAAACTGTGCACAGAAATCTCTCTAAAAGTGTACTTGCGCCCAAAAGCCAAAAATGGTACGCCAAAAAATATTCAGACTTATAAAACGGTGCGTACGCACACTTATAAGCTTGAAAAGTGGCGCATGTGAGGGAGCTCCATGTCCCCCGTTTGAAAAGAGATTAAACCATTTGTGTTCCAGTTGTGTTTAAACATTCACAAACAGTCCACTCACTTAATGAGGCTGCCGATTAGTTAAAAAAAATATGACTTTTTGTAAATGACATAAGCTGAAAGATTTACTTAATAAAATTGTGTTGTATTTTCCATAACGCGTTTTTACAAGCAGCGCATCACATCCACACGCTGGCGCACAGCGTTTGGCTCGAAAAGCCAACGAACATGTGATAAGAATATATGAATATATTCTCCGCTACTATTTGTTCGACTGAGGCACTGAAAACGGTTTAAATGTAATTTTTCCTCCTGTTCACCTTATTTAGGCTATGAGAATAAATTGCACTGCATGCAAGTATGGCATGCCATTTAGGAAATACTATATATATATGAAGTTTGTCCATCTGAATATATGGAATGAACCTTGAATATATGGAATGAAAGTCTGAATATAGTGAATGAAGTCTGAATATATGGAATGAAAGTGTGAATATATGGAATGAAAGTCTGAAGATATGGAATGAAAGTCTGAATATAGTGAATGAAGTCTGAATATATGGAATGAAAGTGTGAATATATGGAATGAAAGTCTGAAGATATGGAATGAAAGTCTGAATATAGTGAATGAAGTCTGAATATATGGAATGAAAGTGTGAATATATGGAATGAAAGTCTGAAGATATGGAATGAAAGTCTGAATATAGTGAATGAAGTCTGAATATATGGAATGAAAGTCTGAATATATGGAATGAAAGTCTGAATATATGGAATGAAAGTCTGAATATATGGAATGAAAGTCTGAATATAGTGAATGAAATCTGACGTCATTGATGTGAAGTGTGACACTGTTAGTGAATCAGCAAGAAAGTGTCCAACGTCCGCAATTTTGAGCAATGAAGAGATTATAAAAACACTGGCGAATGCATGTATGAGCCAAAATATTGGAAACCACATCCAATACCGTTCTCCTGATCTAGAAATGTATTCTCTATTATCATGGAAGACCAAATGCAGGAACCCTCCCAGGCCAGGCTGTTCCCGTTTATCAGGCAAACTGAAATACGCCTTTAACCTCACAGGTGCCCCCCACAACAACCCCTATATACAATCTTCGTATGTCCACCCAAAAGGGCTCAGGCAGCAACTTTTTAAAGAGTAAGATCCTGTGTTTAACCAGAAATAGCTGTTATATCGCTCTCTTCAAAGCCACCGAACTCCATTGACAAAAAATGTTACCGCTGCCAGGTTATTTTTTCTGTGACTTTGGTGTTTAAAAGATTAGTTCGATGCGAACTAACTTAAGCTGTTGTGGGGACACGTGTGAGGTTGAAGGCTTGTTTGCCTGATAAACGGGAACTGCCTGGCCTGGGAGGTTTCCTGCATTCGGTCTTCCACGATTAAAGAGAATAAATTATTTCATCAGGAGAACTACTGGATATGGTTTCCAGTATTATGGCGTGTACATGCATTTGCTAGTGTGTTTGTAATCTCTTCAATGCTCCAAATAGCTGACACTAGATTTCTTACTTATTCGCTCATAGTGTCACAATTACATCCATACGGATTAATCACATCAAAAACACAAGATGGCGCCAGTGCCTTAATGATGTCAGATGATGATTTCATTAAATATATTCAGACTTTC